GCCTGAAAGAAGAGCCGCGTGCATCTCTCAGCGCTCAACACACCGTGCCGTGTTTAATGAGACACGACTAATGGGCAGTGGAACAAACAGGAAAGAAAACAACATCCAATATCCACTAATTGCATCAGTGCCCTCTCCTTGCTGTCACCCAAGTGCGGAAGTAGGCCACGCAGACTGGGGCAGGGCTCTCTGAGCGCCCCAGGCCACCTTTCTGTGGTCAATATATGGCATGGCGAGACTAGGTGGGCAAGCAGGGCGAAATAGGACACTCGGTCACAGCACCATTATGCCTGAAACCAGCAAAGGCGTCAAATTTAGCCCTGCCTCAGAGTTTGAGCTGTTTTTAGGTTGTTGCCTTGTGAACGTGCCACAAAAAACATCTACTCATCTGCTGTACTTGACTGGTTTACTGAGCTTCCCAGACATACACACTCTGCCATTTAAGGGTTTCTTAATAATACAAATCTAATTTTATTATAGATAAATGGTTGAAACGATTCTAATACTAGTCCTGAGCAACTTCACAGGTTTCAGATAGTTGTTAGAGTGCTAGATTGCTGTTAATCTAGAAATTGTAGATGATGGATTATGAAAGGAGGTGTAGATGACTCTAAAATGACTGAGAAAGCTATAAAACATTGAAAAATGAGTTGGACGTCCAAAGTTTATCATGTTTCAAAAATAGGCATCGATTGTTGAAGCAGAACACTGGGTGACAAAAAAAAATGTCACATAAACCAAAGAAAGTGATTCTATCAATATTTTGTTACTGTGCATTTAAGAATGACACATGTAAATGAGCTCTGTTAGCTGCCTTCTATTGTGCTTCATTCAAAAGCATTTCAGAAGGAAACAGTCCTTATAACTTCAGCATAAATGGGCGGGGCTAAAACTGCTGTAGGATGAATGTATAATATGTAAATATGCCTTTTTTTTAGCAATATCACAAATATAATGCATATGAAATGAGCTGTTTTGCAGCCTAGTTTTTTCATATATGGACTGTATGGAATGAGCAGTGAATTGTTTCAAAACATCACAACATTTACATGCTTTTCTGTCAAACTCTTTTATTTACCAACACAAATCAGGAAAATTCATTTTTCCATTATTTAATTGATATATATGTCATCATCATCAAAATCATATTACTCAGTTTTTAGTGTTTATTTTTTTATTCCATTTGACAATACCACCTACTTTTACACTGTGTGAACACTTCAGGATGAATGGATCAATAGAAATGTCCTGAACTGAAGCTTAAAATGACCTAAATAAGATCTAGTTCTAGTTTAGAACATTTATTTACTGCTTACTAATTGAACACCTGAGATTTTGTTAAAGCAATGACACACAGAACATACAGAAAGCTCTTGATGTTGTGACCTTTTTCTAGCAACTCTTTAAATAACAATACACAGAAATATGTTGACCTTATGACCTTCACCTGACAAGAGCTGTAGAAAATTCTAAAATGATTGAAAAAGCGTTAAGAATTATGTTATGATAAAATTAATATCCAGAATGGCGCATTAATCAAATTGATTGTTGATTTTCTGCTATATTTTGCTTCTGGAATGTCTCTTTTCAAGGTCCAACAGTAGTTAGCAAGTGTACTAGGGCTTCATTTCCCCTGGTGCTGCTTTTCGTGTTGGAGAACATCTTGATGAAATTTCCTACTGTGCTCACCACTGACCATGCCGATATTCTCAGAGGAACTCCAGATGAGAGTGAAAGCGTATTTTTAATGACGTTACACCCCATAGATCTGTATGATCTCAATAGGTCATTCACTATTTCCAGGTAGTTTTCTGATTAATGATTAAATTTAAATCATCAAAAAAAAAATACATCACACAAAACTTTTCGTAGATTTGAATTCAGCATGAAAAAAAATACATGTAAAGCACAAATTAGTTTTCCTGTGATAAAAAGTGTGTTTACCAGTGTAATTGTTTGTGTAAATAGATAATTACAGTATTATTTATCACATTGAGTATATGTACATTGTATATAAAAACCTCAAAAAAAGTTGGGACAGTATATGAAATACAAATAAAAACAGAAAGCAGTGAGTTGTAAATCCACTTTGACCTGTGTTTAAAGCAAAAACATTACATAGACAAGATCTAGGGTCTAGGTATTTCATCCTCTACGGTGCATAATATCATCAAAAGATTCAGGGAATCCTGAGGCATCTCTGTGTGTAAAGGGCAAGGCCAAAAATCATAACTGAATGACCTTCAAGCCCTCGGATGGCACTGTATTAAAATCCAGCATGCTACTGTGAAGGATTTCACCACTTGGGCTTGGATTGAAAAGCTTCGTCAATAAACACTGTTCATCATTGCATCCACAAATCCAAGTTAAGACTGCATGGTGGAAACCACATTTCAGCAATGTCTAGAGAAGCTGCCGACTTCCCTGGGCTTGAGCTTATCTGAAATGGACTGATGTGGAAAAGTGCTAGACTTGCCTGTCTGCAGTCCAAACCTGTCCCCCTCTGAGAACATGTGGCACCTGATGAAGTGGAAAATATGACAATGAAGGCCAGGTACAGTCGCAGAGGTGAAGATTTGTATAACTGAGGAATGGCAGATTAATTCAGCTTTCAGAACTGGATCAGTTTATGTCTTCAGCCCCCAAATGATTATTAAGTGTTGTTAACCCCTTAAAATCCCAGGCCTTTTACATACTAAGGCTTATTATTCAGTGACTACAGGGACTACTAATGCAAACTGGCTGAGCTATTCTTAGGTTAGGTTAGGTTATTCTTAGATTATCCTTAGGTTATAAAAGGTTTTAGAAGAGTCTGCTGGTGCACCATGGTCATTTAAGGTGTTAAAAAGAAAGGTGATGTAACACAGTGGTAAACATGCTCCTGTCTAAACATTTTCAGAACATGTGCAGGCATCACATTTGGAATAAATGTTTAATTTACAAACCATTAAATGAATAAAATAAAAACAAAGTTCACAAAGTAAAACAACAATTATTGTACATTGTGTCCTTATACTGTTTTGAATTCAGTACAGGCCAAACAGTATTGACTATTCACTGCTTTCTGTTTTAATTAGCATTTCATATACAGTCCCAACCTTTTTTAAAACTGAGGTGGGCTATATGGAAATCATATTATCAGGTCTCTAATATGTGAGCTTTTGATGATATCTACTCGAGTCAGAAACAAAGGTACCATACAGGTACATTTTTAATGTCTCTATACCATCAAAGGTACAATGCTGTTAAGATCCAACTGTGTACCTTAAATATGTCTATCTCAGGAGAAAGGCTTGTATTTGTACCTTTTATAACTTAATGTTTTAAAACAGAAAATTAAAATGCCTCCAGTAAGACAGGGTGTGTGTAATCAGTACAACTTGAAAACATAACTGCCTTACAATTATGTTTGCTAACTAAAAGTACTGAAGACATACTTTTGAAGGTACCACCCCAGTGACAAGAGGGGGACCACCCTAGTGACAGTTTATTACCTTTTTGGTGTACGGTTGCTGGGCCTTTGTCCAGAAGAGCTGAACAATCTCAACAGAGTGCTTCAATACAGTCAAGCTGTGCATTCGTCCCTCTAAAACACATACAGCCACCCACAGACAGAGAGAAGCCACAGTGAGGAACAGAGGGTAAAAGAGATCACGTGCTCAAAGGGACATTACCTAAATGAAATGAGGGTCTAAGGGTCTTATGTAGGCTCATTCTTCAGCTCCTCGCTCTCATATCTACATTCATTAGTAGTTACTGAATAATTCATAATAATAACTGAAAAATAAGCTTAGGACACAGGGAGTTGTAAAAGAAAGACACTGAGGACTCCTCTACTGAGTTAAAGAGGAAAAGTAACTTGGTATAATGAGAAAGAAACTGTTGGAGAGGAATAAGAATCCAAGTGTTGATAGAAGGATAAAAGAAAAAGAATAAAAGGCTTTAGGCACTTGTGTTGCTCATTTCAGTTTTGCTTGTAATACATAGTCCACATTCAGTTCATAGATGGATATGTGGTATGTCGTGCTGAGTAGGTTTGCATTAAGAAGATAGGATATAGAAATAATTTACATGCATCAACAAATCACTACACATGCACCCTTTAAAATAACGGCTGGCTTCAGTTCTCAGTGTCTCAACAACAAGAGCAGTTTAGTTTCACCTTAAACAGCTTTGAACATGTCATCACTCTACAACAATCAACAGAGACCTGAGGTTAAAACAGATGTCTTAGATCAGGGAAAGCATCAAAATGTACAGTGTGGAGCTCAACTAAGATTACATATTTCAAATAATTAGCTCTTTTGATGTAACAGTTTCTTTTATATTAGATTACATTTTAAAGGTTTCTTTTATATTAGATTACATTTTATTTTAGAATATCATTTTTTAGCTTTTCAGACTTTAAATATAGAACTACAGTGGCTGACAAGACCCAACACACTGCAAAATAAAAAAACAGAGATGCAAATGCAGAAAACACTTTCATCAAAATCTTATCCCCTCCTTCCCCCCCTAGAAAAAATGTCTGTTCCAAGAGAATTAAGCAATAAACCGTTGTTTAGGGCCCACTGAGTCACCAGGGGGCCACCAAGTATGAATTTTTTTAAAATACATGAAAAATAATTAATACGCAGTCCAAAGATTTTTTTATCAAAATCAATGATTCGTTCCTGTTTTGTTCTTGAATAGAAAAGAATATGATTGGCATGGGTGGGGTGTAGCCCCCCATGTAAGGTGAGGTTTAAATATTCAGAAATGGCACCATAAATCTGGTCAAATTTTTAGATACTTAACAAATTTAAGCCACACTTAAGCCATTTGTTTAATGGGGAGCCCCTCAATCACCCATCTCTTGAAGATGAGATTCTTCTCTAGAAGAATGATTTTAATGTTGGAAGTATTACTATCTGGGCTGCAGTAATAACCATCAAAGCCTTCTGCCATTTGGCCTGTTTTAAAGTCTGTTCTCTTCCTTGTCCCTTCTTTTCTCATTGCAGAGCAGTATCACCTCAACAACACCACCTTCTCTTCCTTTAGCCCCACAGTCGGGCTCCCTCATCCCCAAAGCAACATCAGCCTGCCAGGCCTTGCACTCAACAAGTACACCTCACTGAAGGCTGTGGGTAAGTGAACCAACTCACCAACCATAATGACGAATTATCAGTCAGGAGAGCACTAAGAGTCAGCCTGTTTACAGATTTCAGCAATTCTCCAGTCACAATTAAACCAAATTCTCTTGATGCTAATCATGACGCTCATTCATCATTTATTCATTTGTATCACTCGATTCAGCATTCACAAAGAGCAGCAGCAATTCCTTCAAGGCTTGAATCAAAGAGGCCATTTTTTTCATCTTCTTCTTTCTGTTTGATTGACAGAACTAGGGAAGCCCCGTGGTGGAGTAGACCTTTTTTCACTCTGTGCTGGGTTTGTGGCAGGGGCATACGGTTGCCCTGCTTTACAAAGACCCAAAGCTGGAACCTAATCAGCCGCTGGCTACAGCAGCCCATTTATACAGACAAGCCAATAGTGACACACGTGTGTGTGTTTACATGCTGAAGTGCATACGAGTCCTTACAAAACTGCAATCAGACATCCGAAGCACTCACAGCATCATCATCAATACTTACTTATACAGTGAGACTGATGCACTGTGACAAGACACTTCCGACCGTCCTCAAATCAGAAATCCCTCGTGATAAACGAACATAATGAACTGCAGAGAGTTTACAGATAAACCTGTACCACTAATAGGCTGTTACTGCAGCACTTTCTGCTTCACTGCCATGCGCTTTGATATTACGTCTTCAGCAGCCAACAAACTCAAGCTGGATGAAATAATAATTAGATTGTTGTAATTTAGACCTAGCTGTTTCACTCTGGCAAATCATAATCATGCAAACTGTATCTGACAATAATGTACAGTATGAAGTAGAATATGTAAAAAAAATTACATGTTAGAATCAGCATTACGTTAATTTGCCACATACTAGGATTTTGTCTCGGTGAGCTTAGTAAGAGTAACTTACTAAATAGACCATATAAGTACAGACTAATAACTGTTTTTCAAAGAAAATAAAGTGCACTATGTAAGATTACAATTGAAAGAAGACTGGACAAAAAAAAACAGCTCAATGTTTAGGTCTCAAATGTAAAATCAACATTATACTGATTAATACATGATGAGAATAGTAGATAATCAGAATCACTTTATCACTTCAGTAATAATTCAATAAGATAATTTACTTACATCCTTGGAAGACACGTCTATCACCAGGTTTTGACTGAGTTTTCGTTGAATACTTTCACAATCAGCAGATTCATCTGTCCGAAGCACAAACAACATTACAAAATGTTCTTCTGCACATTGTGTGCAATTGAGGATTTGGGGACTAGAGAGGTCTCAAAATCCTCAAAGCTTACATAGTGTAGCTTTAACTAACAATAGCTAAATATTATATGTCACATTATATTGTATTTAGATAATTATCTTGTAAATAAAACAATTTGGTAACACTTTACTGTAGGGTAGAGTTCATAAAGCTACATGACAACCTGCAAAAGCCTACATAAACCTACATAAACATTTATGAAGATTGTTTTTCCAGTGAGCAGCAGTGGTCATAAAAGCTGCTTTTATCAAAGTCAGTGTCAAGTTGACATAACATCAGTGTTGTAACAGGTATTTTCTGACATTAGCCATTGTCATAACACTTTCTGGGGAGAAATGACACAGCATGTTATGGCAATTGACTTTGTTCTTTAGTGAATTTTGGTATGTCAAACACATAATGGCGACTATGTTACACAACTTGACACATATGGCTGCAAAGTCAAACAAAAGTGAGTCTTTTCTTAAAAGATGGTTTGAAACTTTGTGGTAACACTGAAATGAAAATCATCTGTACTGTAGTTATATTGTTTTAATGCTGACTTTTTTGTTATGACAGAGTTTGTAGCAGTGTGTGGCACCCTCTACTGTCTCCACTATAAAAAAAAAAAAAAGATTAAAAGCACAGGATATTTTCTGAATATTAATTAAAAAGCATGCAGTTCAATTTTAAAACTATATAACTGGTACTTGCTGGAGTTAACTGACTAGGTAGCTTGTTGTTTTGACTCATAGTCAATTGAAAACAGTACAAAGACAAGATATTTAATGTTTTAATTAAATAAATGTATCAGTCTCAGTTGTAGTCCAGAGAAGTTGGTGGCGTTTCTGGATGTTGTTGGTTTATGGCTTCCACTTTTCATAGTAGAGTGCTAATTTGCATTTGTAGTGATGAACTGTGTTTACTGAGAAGGTTTTTCCAAAGTGTTCTTGAGCCCTTGTGGTTATATATTTATTATAGAAGCATGTTGGTTTTTAATGGAGTGCCGTCTGAGGGATCAAAGGTCACAGACAATCAGTATTGGTTTTTGGCCTTGCCCTTTATGCAAAGAGATTACTCTGGATTCTTTGAATCTTTTAGTAATGTTCTGGACTGTATGTGATTAAATCCCTAATTTCCTTGCAATCATGCACTGAGGAATATTTTTCTTAAACTGTTGGACTATTGACTCAGTTTTTTGTGACTGAGCCTTTCGTGAATGCACCTTTTATACCCATTCATGATAGCATCACCTGTTACCTATTCACTTGTTACCTGTGGAAAGTTCCAAACAAGTGTTTTTAATCCTTTCATTGTTCAATTCAGGCATCAAATTTAGAATTAGCATATATTTACATAAATCAGGTAAATATACGCTAAAGGTAAAATATTATAAGGTATGATAAGGTAAAATATTAAAGATCTATTCTTTGTGCTATTTTCACTTAAATACCTGTAAAAGACACCTTGCAACTCACTCCATTCTGTTTTTCATTTGCATTTTTAATAATAATCATAATAATAATAATAATAATAATAATAACCTCTGTTTATATAGCATCTTACAACAATGCTTTACGAAGAAAGAGCACAAACAACTACAAAGATCAGAATTCGAGTCCTGATCAGATCAATGATGTAAATGTGTTTGATTGACAGAATAAAGGATGCATGTGAGAGATGCATGTTGCGCACTGTATGCACACAGCTGTAGGACAAGGGCATTAGGCTGCCCTACATTACTGTCTAATAAAACAAGGCCAGTGGCAACAGAAACACAGTGATCCAGACATACAGACATACATGCTGCCTACACACGCACCCACTCACAGTCAAACATGTCCATACAAAGTGCATGTCTCAATGTTCTTGTTGGTTGTCCAGTCACCATTTACTGATGATGATCCACTGTGGCAATATAACCTTTAGAGTCTCCTCAAGGTTTTCTGTACTGTCATCCAGTCAAATACTCATGGTAGCTTGTTAAATAAATGTAATAAATGAGGGGAAAACAGGCAAAGAGCAAAACTCAGTGGAGCAGATCTAGATGCTGTTCCATGATATAAGTCACACAGTGCTGTGTTTTTATTCACTGACAGCAGAAAATTTCATTCTGAGGTAATCTTTCAACAACTCCTGTTTTATCTTTTATTGTCATACTTTGATTTATGACTGGATGACAGCAGTTAAACTTTACTAAATAGAGTCTCATTCTATTATATTACGTATTGTCACTGATAAAACATATCCAAAAAAGAAAAAACATTCATAATTTTAATATGGGGACAGCAGGGCACAACTTTTTTGTTTTTTTCCAGTTTATGTTTTTATTATTTGTGGATTAGGATTTTTTTTTACAAGCAACCTAAAGATCTCTGCTACAAATGAAAACATAAACGTCCAGCACCTACTGTTCATATACAATTCTGCCGAAAGCAGAGTGAGTGCTAATGTTACCCCATAGGCAGTGTTAATTGTAACAGTTTGCGGTTGTAACAGCCACTAACGATTCTGGTAAAATGACCCAAACACATTTCATTCAGTACAATTCTACACTGTTTGAACCAGGCAAGCTTACCAACATAAAAATATGATTAGTGAAAACAGCAGCACATACAGCACATAACTATATTTGACAGATGTTTATTAGATAGATGTGGAAAACCAATTTGACTGTCATCATTTTAAATACCACCATCACTTATTTATTTAAGCTAATTAAAAGAACTAAGTTAACACATTTGATAAAAATATCGATTTGTAGCTTAAAATCATAATAAGCCATCCAAGTGGAGTTCAACACCACAGTTTCCAGAGCAGTCAAAATTAGAGTCAATACAACTGTTCCATTTATCAATAGGCTTTGTAAAACAGTGCTCTGAAAAAGTATTTTCCAATTTCTTCTATTTTTGCATATTTGTCACAATTGGATGTTTCAGATCATCAGACTACTTTTACTTAATATTAAACAAAAAACACAGAGTAAACACAAAATGTTGTTTTTGAATGATGATTTCATTTAATGAAGGAAAAATGCTGTTCAGCCCTACCTGGCCCTATGTGAGATGGTAATTGCCCCCTTAGCTACATCCCCATTTCCAAAAAAGTTAGGACGCTGTGCAAAATGTAAATGAAAACAAAATGCAATGATGTGCAAATCATTTAAACCCTATATTTAGTTGAAAATAGTACAAAGACAACATAAAAAATGTTGTTTTTGGAAATGGGGTTGTACTAAATCAACCATTTAACTAGATGTAATTTACCTTCGGGTTCAATTTCACTGGCCACACTCAAGTATAATTACTGCCAGACCTGTTGAATCTAAACATCACTTAAATAGAACCTGTCTGGCAATGTGAAGCAGCTAGAAGGTCTCAAAAAGCAGCGCACAATGCCACGTTCTAAAGAGATTCAAATACAGATGCAAAATGAAATCATTGAAAGTCTGGAAAAGGTTACAAAACCATTGCTAAGGTTCTGGGACACAGTGAACAGTGAGAGATATTATCCACAAATGGAGAAACGTGGAATAGTGGTGAACCTTCCTAGGAGTGGCCGGCCAACCAAAATTTCACTAACAGCGCATCGACCACTCATCCAGGAGGTCACAAAAGAACCCAGATGATCTAAAGACCTGCAGGACTCACTTGTCTCAGTTAAGGTTAGAGTACATTTTCCCACAATAAGAAACACACCGGTCGAAAGTGGCATAGATCGAAGAGTTACAAGGTGCAAACCACTGCTGACCAGAAAGAATACAAAAGCTTGTCTCGCATTTGCCAAGAAACATCTTTTGGGATAATATTCTGTAGATTGATGAGTCAAAGGTGGAACTATTGGAAGACATGGGTCTCGTTACATGTGGTGTAAAGCTAAGACCACATTCTGCCATAAAGAATGTCATACCAACAGTCAAACATAGTGGTGGTAGCATGATGGTCTGGGGCTGCTTTGCTTCTGCAGAACCTGGATGACTTGTCATAATAGATGTAACCACGAATTCCGCTCTCTATCAGAAAATCCTAAAGGTGAATGTCTGCCTATCAGTTCCTGACCTAAAGCTCAAGTGCAGTTGGGTTTTGCAGCAGGACAAATGATCCAAAGCACACAAGCAAATGCACCTCTGAATGGCTCAAAAGGAACAAAATGAAGGTTTTGGAATAGCCGAGACTGAGGTCCTCTTTGAGATGCTTTGGCAAGACCTTAAATGAACTGTTTATGTTCGAAAACCCTCCAGTGTAGCTGAATTAAAACAATTCTGCTACGAAGAGTGGGCCAAAATTCCTCCACAGCGATGTGAAAGACTCATCGCAAGTTATTGCAAATGTTTGCAGTTGTTACTGCAAAAGGAGCCGCAATCAGTTATTAACATGGGTGATGTAGGTTGGATGTTTCCTCGTGTTGTCTTTATCTTAAAATTAGTTCAATGATCTGAAACATTTAAATGTGACAAATTAGCAAAAATAGAAGAAATCGGATGAGGGGCAAATACTTTTCACAGCACTGTATAGTCTGACTTGTTTCCCAATGTTCAAAACAAACAAGTTAGTAAATCTTTGAGAATGTAACAAGTAGAGACAGAGAGTATGGCTTTCAGGTAAACTCAGAGGTAAATCAAGTCTGATGAATATGACCTGAAGCTTCCTCTCCTTCACCAGTGAGCTAATCTGAAATGACACCACTTCCCCCTCTGTTTATATCCAATCACAACTCACCAGTACTCCACTACTCTCTAGCTCCACTCATTTATATAAAGATCGCCTTATTTAGTTATTCAGGGAACTCTCGTCTGTTAGCCCACTGCACACCATGACACTGAGTTCAGCAAGATTTATAACAGGGGTCTTTAAGTAAAATTCAATAAGGTCCAGTTAGAGAAAATTTCCTCAAGCAAAGGTCTGGAACATCATAAAGTCTAACTTGCATTATGATTCAATGCTATATACTGTATACTGAAGTAGCCTAGTAGGTATAATTAACATCTTATGTAGTCAACAACTGAATGTCAAATCAAATAAAGAACAATTCATTCATATTTCAACAACATATATTGTCAGTTTTCTCTGTTTAGATCACGACATGTAAAATAACCTCCCTCTGACTCACTTTCTTCTCCGACTGCTGTTTCTCGCCTCGTCCCTCCCCTGTGTGTGCGTCACTCACTCGAGTCTCAGAGCTCATCGTAATGCACAGATCTGATTGGCAGAATAGCATCACGTGTGATATTTACAACGCATGCGATTGGTCTGTTAGTTTTCCGGGCCACTAAAATGGTACTGTAAAGGCTAGAAAAGTTACGCCAATTAAAATAGAACCACCCCGTCGAAATGAAATAATTCTCCATAGTTTATTAGTTATAGGTCCAGGTCCACATAGGACAGCATCTGGGTCCGGACTCGGACCGCGGTCCGCCTATTAGTGACCTCTAATTTTTAAGAATGCCCTGCTGAAAAATAGAGGATTAGAACTTGATGGTTTAAATTTTTTTTTTAACCTAAAAGCTTTTTTCTTTCTCCTGTAGCCTCTTTCTGGCGCCCCCCTGGTGGCCATCCCTCCAGTGGAATGGAAATCGACTGGAATATTTGTACTTAATTTAACTAAATTAAATATTTTGCCTGTAACTCTTATCAGACTGTCAAGGACACTGTTGACTCCCTGTGTAAGATATGTGATTCTGTGTTGAACTGCTGGTGAGCAATGAGGGCTGAAAGAGGTGAAAATGAACACCTCTCCATAAAGATGGCTGTGCCAAGATAAAACACTACAGCATTCTTGATATTAAATAGTAACATATAACCATTACATTAAAAAATATATAGAATTTAACCACAATAGAAACATTTTTTAAATGTTGACTGATCAAGATGAAAATACACTTCACTTCTGGTTTGTAAATAATGCACATTTCCTTTGAAATACAAGTAATGTTATTGATCATAACAAATGAGGGACGTTCAGAACAGAAATGTTATTTTATCTACTGTGAAAAAAGGTTAAAATTACCATTTTAAAGATACAAGTTTTTTCTGTATAAGCAACAATAACATTCTTCACTAGCTGGACTTCTTATGCACCTCTTTCTTTTCTCCTTTTGTAGCGGACACAGCTGCAAGAGGTTACTACAAGAGTTATCCACTCATGGACTTCTCTCAGTACCAAACACCACCTGCAACTTTCCAGCCCATTCCACTGCACCCCAAGGACAAGTCTTATTTGCATCAGGAAAAGTCCTACATGCATCAGGCGCTTCCACCCCATGACATCCACTCTCCCCTTTCCATTTCAATCCCCAGCAGCCACCTGGAGCGGACCCGCATCCCAAAGACCACCACTCACCCCCTGCTCTCTGGATCAGCCTTTAAAGCCTGGGACTCTGGGCCCAGACACGTTCCCCAGCAGACCTCGCACCCCACTCACACTGGTCGCCGGCAGACCTACGACGACGGCAGGAGGCAGTACAGCACAGAGACGCTGCCTGAGCTTTTACCACAACCCGTGACCTACGGAGGACCTTCGTCATACCATTACGCTCTCAAACAGAAGACCTACCAGACCAACAGCAAGACAGAAGTCACTGTCTGAGAGAAAATGTTTTACAAGCAGCAGACCTGTATTCAAAGACATCCCAATGATATGACTGTGGGCTTCTTTGAGATTTCTGGTTTGACTGAACTTCCAAACCCAGCTGCTTTGCTTTCCTTAGGGTTCTTCCGCCCTTGTTTGCTTGGTCCATATCTGGTCTTTGTGTCTGCTACAGCATGCTCCTCCCACGTACATTGGGGCGTGTTCATCCTAGAATGCAGGACGGCCCTAAGGCCTAGGGCACTGAGGTCCAATGTCCACCAACCAACACCAACAAACCAAAGGTTAAGCTGGTGTATCATACCTGTATGCAATTGTTGAGATCCTCTGTTCACATTGATTAATTTGGTCAGTTCTAATTCTGGAACATTCTGAAGCAGGGGTGCTCAGTCTAGGTCTGGGAGATCCATCACCCTGCAGAGTTTAGCCACAACTCTAACATACCTACTGCAGGTGGTGAAGGCCATCAGGGACATCTGACTATTAGAGCCAGCTGTATTGGATCCGAACTCTCCAGGGTGGTCAATCTCCAGGTCCACGAGTGGGCACCCCTGTTCTAAAGCCAACAGCCAAAAGCTGTAGGTGTTTGTTGGAGGACACTAGGCCGGTGTTCCATGGCCTTAAGGCCACATCAGCTCCACAGGAAGAATGCCTCTATCACATCAGCCCTACATCTACCTCCACTGGCAAGGAGAGTGAATGTGGATCACCATCCTGGCCATCTTTGTGTGAACACGACTGGGAAAATGATTATGAAGAGAAGCTACACAAAGTAAACATGATCCCTTGACCTGAGGCAGTAGGCAGTGTTGAGCTAAAACGTCTACTTTAATTCAAGGATGTGTGAGCTTCAGGGATGGACTGAGGATGACCAAAGGGTCATGTCAGTGTTAGCACATCTTCCTGAGTGGGGTGGTCAGTGAAGGATTATGAAGCTCCAGAGGTTACAGTATTCCAGGTCACATGAACTGTAGGTGAGATCTTGTAACACCCAAAAATCCCTAATTAGTCCATTTAAACTGTTATTTTTGTAGGACCCTTTGCCTTGTTTATTCCAGAAAAGGAATATAAGAGTAGTTAACATGACAGATGGAAATACACAAAAGGAAGACACCCAGAGGTAAATTTCAATGTTCAAATGTTGCTCTTTGATAGCTTAGGAGACTTAATGGTGTTCCTTCTAAAATTCATTATGGGATTAGACAAAACATGAGATCCATAAGAAAGTATAGATGAGTGTAGTTGCAGATGAATATGAATGTTAGAATTTGACAAATCTGAGGATAATATGAGACTTTATCTCTAATAAAACTCAAGAGGAGACAGATGTGAGATTACTGAAGTTTTTTTCTCAGGAGAAACATCTGAGCAGCAGGAGAATTAAGCAAAAGACTCCTTTGTCTTTCCACACAGAGATATTGAGGAGATCTCTTTTTAATTTTTTTTTCCTATAAAAAGAAATCCTCAGTCCTTGTCTATGGAATAGGAGAACTGTAAGACTTGAGTAGCCAAGTAAAATTGGATCGACTTTGCTGCTGTCCAGACTTCTTTTCCAATGAAAAACCAGAATGCAGAAGTCACTATACAATACTTTTGTACAATCCCCTTTTTGTTCAATTTTGAGACATTTAAATGATTTTAAAAGATCCAAGAAAGCTGGGACATGGTCTCACATTAAAACCAGGCAAACCCAACCTTGTGGTTTTGACTTCAGTCAGTACGATTAGGATTTCTGTCCTTTTCTCCATCTCTCCTCAGCTTCTCCAAACAGAGGGTTGATGCAGCTGAGACTCGGCTGTGTTGGGCTGTTCCAAGCTATTCTTATAACTTCTCGGCAGAGCAGGACAGCTCAGAAAAGAATGCTTAGTCATTCAGCTAATGATCCAGAGCAATAATCTGGAACTGTGAAATCTCTTTCCCCATACGTATGAGAATCTAGCTCAGAGATTCCTCCGAGACCTCCAACAACTGTGACCTTCCATCATCTGCAAGGACACTATGGAGCAGATGACAAGCCGTGTTGCTTCATTGTTACATCTGACCCTATGCAAAGGTAAAATGGTGAACCTACCTGTGTTGAACTTTGAAGCTTTCTGCAAGGCGAGGTCTTTTCTTCATAACAATGGATCCTGATTGTCTTCTCCTCTCAGCAGCTGAAGCACAACAAACACGACTGTTACCTCAGAAACATTTGTTCCTCTGCAGCTTTTTACACCAGATTATTTGAGAAATCAAAGCACAGGAAGACCTAAAACTAATCCTGGCATGAGCTAAAAGATTAGCCTTGTATTGCTTTATGCTATATTGATGAGTTGTTGTCTATAGTGACCAGTTAGCACCTGAGCTGAAATCAAGTTTTTGTTCTGTTAAAAATATGGTACAGCACTTGAAATAGAGTCACATTTACCCTCAACCAAATTGAACTCACCTCTTGGGCAAGACTCCCAAATAAGATGTCCCATGGTCGAGGGGATGAGGTTAGAGATCATTTAGGAACCTGCATTTCAAGCACATTTTATCCACAGCAATACATAATGTTTTATATCTAAAGATTTTAGTTTGCAGTATTTGTACTACAGTATTTGTATGTTTGTAGTATTCAAAACTGTATGTATTTTAAAGTGCTTCCGATCGTCTCCAGTATGGAACCATGCATTAATTCAGACCTGATAACCCTGTGAACTTCACCTCTGTGCACTTTTGTTATTTCCACACAGCACTTACATTTCATTATTCTACAGATGAATATTTAGTATTTGTGTGGGGAACACATAAACGACAGAAATTTGTTAAGTAACTTTGTAAGAGATATCTGTACATGTATTAAAATATAGTAAGTGTAAGTAACATATAAATGTATATACCATTATTATCCTATTTAACTTTTTATTTATAAAAGGGCTTTTCAGAACAATTGGAAACAAAAAAAATACATGAGTTTTCTATAATGGGTAAAAGCCTCCTGCCTGCGAAGTGCCCTAAGGTTTTTTGTCTCAAATTATCTCAAGATAATTATCTCAGGATAGACTTTTGAGATAATCTTGAGATAGTTATGCAGAGCAACATTATCTCGAGGACATTCTCAATATGTTTTCTTTGTATAAGTATCTCAGGACAAATTTCTCGAGATATTTATATAAAGAGATTTTTCTCGAGACAATGTAAGGGAGTTACACCCACTCTGGACACTAGATGGCAGCAATATGCTGTTCAGGGAGCTCTGTTCACTTCATCCCAGCCCTTAGCGTTTTAGAGTGTGTTCTGGTTGAAAGTGGCATTAAAGTTTGTGGTTCAGCAAATGCCTCTGATTCTGAAACACGCCACTCTGATATAATGATGTCTGCTGGAAAGCACTGAAACAGCATCTTCATGTTTGAGACCAAGTTCAAAATAAAGTGCTATTCATGCCCTCTGGCTGGCAGGAGACTTTTTTAATAGTAATCCCAAAGTAGAGTAACTGCATCAAATGTTACCGGAAATCTGGGCCTGTGTTCATGAAGATTCCTGAAATTAGCCGATGTAGGATCAGATTCCTGTTATTTATGATAATCTTACTAACAGGAGCAGATTCTACATCAGCACTACTTCCGAGAAGCTTTATGAATACTGTCCCAGTGTTTTAAGGAGGTAATATGGAAGATGGACTTTAGGGTTGGTTTCTTAGACAGGGATTAAGCCTAGTCCTGGACTACACAGAAACCCCCATTGAAAGGAATATGTAGTCCAGGGTCATCCAGGAAACCGAACTTCAATGTTAGGTGCTGAAGCTTCCTAGTTGGTCACAGAATGTCATAAGAAGGGCACTACACAATGCACAAGAGAATCGGTTTTGCTCATAAAAAGTCAGATTCTCTGCTAGATCCCTCTACAAATTCCCTCTAGAATATTAAAGAAAATATAATAGCTGAGCTGAGCTGTCGGAGAACGTTGACTCATATATATAATATATATATGTATATTAAAATATCTGTTTGACAAATATACTAATCAAGATTATAGAAGCAAATGATATGAAGCAAAAAGGTTTAGATCCACTGATTTGTACATTAAACACTACTGTTCTTAAATGCTTTCAGAATAAACCTATTGTAACAGTTTCTGAATTTCTCTGCAGATTTTATTTTCAAAAATTTCTGCTGCTGCTGCTGAGTTAAAATATAGAATTTCTGTTCATTTTAGTGACTTGCAAACAGTGGAATGTATTGCTACAACAGTGAGCCTATTTATAAAGGGATTATGCATGTTGAGAATTTCGTGGACTTTATCTCCCTCTCCTGGGCAATTTGGGTATTGCAGACAGATTCACGGATAGAAAAAAGCAAGGCAGAACAGTAAAAGATGTTACATTAGTGGGCAGTAGGCTCTCCACTGAATTAGCGTGCATGACTCAAGACCACACAGCCATGTCAGCAACTCTGTTAATGTCTTCAAGACCTCAACCTTCCACACAAGCTTTGCAGCTACAGCGGCGCTGCTATTAAGTCAATACTGGAACGAAAGAAAGCTACACCACACTTCCATGTTTAATAGATCGCTGCTGTGAAAAAAAACGAGATAAAAATATCTCCATTTTTGTTGATGTTTTTTCTACCTCATTTGAACACAACAGCTGTTCTTTATATTGTGTAAATATTTCATGATGAATGGACCAAAAGAAATGCTCCAGAATCACTTAGAAGAAAACCTTTTTACATTAACTTGCACTGAAAGTGAAGAAGGTTTTGGCCTTTTCATGTAAAGTTAATGCTTTGGAGATGCATGTTTTTCTTTGGACAGATTTGTGTTAATCTGCTAACATTATGAGTGAACATGAAGAAATGACAGAAAAATAGACCTCAATCCAAATTTTTCCTTGCATTTTTTATTTTTCTTTTTTAAAAAATAATTTCCAAATACTCTGAAACCTGAACCCCAACCCTGACCTCCACCTGCTCATCTATACAATCAGAGAAGAAGAAGGCTTTAGTCAATAATATGTACCTCAAATACAGCAATGCATAGAGATCTGGTGAACATCACCAAACCCAGTTCCCAGCAGAGTTTATTTGATTGGGAGGTTTCCTTAAGACCACAACACTTGGTCTTAGTCAGCTTAAGTGCAAAGTTGGAAGCACTGGCATGTTGGAAGTTACTCCAAAGCCAAACTCCGAGATTAGGAGAGGACCATGTCTATCTCTCTCCCTCTCTCTCTCTCCCCTAAATCCCTCCTCCCATCAGTGTGTGCCCAAACTCCATCAGTGCCAGCAGAAGAAGCAATATGGCGGAGTGACAGTAATGTGGCATGGGAGAAATAACCCAAATAAGTTGAATACTGAAAGCTAGAAGAAATTTGGATCATTTTTGGATAATAAAATCCTGACACTGAGATGGCCAGGAGTCGAACACTACTTATTGAAGACCATGACCGTCCAACCAGTTGTGCAAGCTTAAAGGACCCATAACCTACGTTTTTCTTGTATTTAATTTTTATTCCCTAAAGTCCTCTTGTAATATTTGTGTGGTTTTTATGTATCGCAAGCAGATGTAATTCATTTTTATATGACCATTTTCGATGCGCCTTTGTCTCCTAGAATTAAACAGGCTGTTTTTGTTACTGTGTTTGGACTGCTATATCATCGTTGTTGTGCAAAAACCTTGTGCCTATATTTTTGTAGTTTTTTTTTTTTTTACTTTTAACTTTTTAGCATAATTTGAAAACTCCAGTTACCCTTAGAATTGTGTTAAATTTTTATGATGAACAGACCAACAAAAATCGTCTAAAATTACTTGGAAAAAATATTTTTATATTAACTTTTGCTGCAAGTTAATAATTCTTTTTTCTTCTCTGGTACAGTTACCATTTTGAAAATCCAAGGTTTTGTTCCAACAGTGATGATACATTAACAGCAGTCTCTAAACAGTTTTGACTGACTGCTCTGTATTGCGTTTCATTCAAAAACTACCCCAAGCTAAAACACTATTTATACCTTCACCACGAATGAACGGGGCTAAACTGCTGAAGGCTGAATAGATGGTGAGCTAGTAAATTCAAAATGGGCTGTTTTTGCATAACACAGCAATCGCTTAATTCAAAAAAGTGAGGACACTTCAGGATCCCATGATATGGGCCCTTTAAGATTGAGAAGTGAAAATTCCCTGTCTGATATGTAGGCAAACAAACAGCTGGTCCAGAACATTTTGGATGTAAATGAACCAGTTTGTCATAAATACATACCGTTCCTAAAGGAGGGAGAAAACCACAAGGAGTATAGATTGGTCTCTCTGTTGGCAAACACGTAAGCACAATGTACTGTAATATGTTTATGTATGGTTGAGGGTGTAGGGGTTAATACTCAGTGCTTTGATAGACCTATCAAACAATAGAACTGCTCAGAAACCATACATTATTCTGGTGGAACATCAGGAAAAATGTTTTCAGCATTACAAACAGCATATAGGTTTGAAGTGTTCATGTGTAAAAGCCTGTACACAGAATAAGGATGAAGGTGCTAAGTCGTGTGTTGTATGTATCTGCTGAGCAGTTTAAGACCAAAGCTACAAACAGGAGTCCCAGTGGATCTGCAGGTCTGAACTGTCCAAAAAGTCTGCTGAAAACACACTGGGGGGTGTGTGTGAGCCCAGAGGAGCTAGAACTGTTCCCCCTCCAGCACTGCTTCCACCCATGGATATGTCCAGCCAATCCATGCCATCTAGGGCAGGGTCTTCGAAGTCCAGGCTGGTGGGATGGGGGGAGAAGCTCAGGTCACCGGTGTCCATTGGGGAAGGGGGGTGATCCAGAATGCTGGGAGTGCTCAGCATTTGGTTGTGGAGATCATCGATCAGCGTTAGAGGACCGTCGAGCTCCACCCCGAGCAATGGAGTCCCAGTTGTGCTCTCCAGGAAGTCTTCCAGACGACCTGTTCCCGAGCAGGGCCGCTCGTGTGTGTCAGAGGGACGGACAGGGTCAGAGGGAGGGGTCGGAGGTGAGAGGTGCAGTGGGGAGGAGGGAGGGGAGGGAGTAGGAGGATTGGAGTGCAGGTCAGAGAGGGAAGGGTCTGGATTTGCCTTGAATCCAGCTGAAATTTCTGTATCAGATATAGGAGAGAAAGGAAACAAAACCAGGAAAAAAGAGACAGTTAATTAGAGCTATGACATATAAGAGACTGTGGGTTGAGCTATTTTTACCACAGTACCATGAGGTGTTATTACTTACAACACAAATCAGAGTACCTAAGGGTCCTGTCACACAAGCGCTTGCAAGCAAAATTTCCTGAGCGAAGTTGCATTCATTTCAATGGTATTTGCCACAGTCAGTGACATCACGTCACAAATTTCCTTTGAAACTTTGCATCGAGTTCAACTTTGATGAACTTTGATATGCAAATTAATGTCTGATTAGTGCTACCGTATGGCTGTATTGACAATTTAACAAATGTCTAAGCACAAATCTTTTAAAATTTAATCCCCTCTGGCTATATATGAACACATGAAAGAGAGACCGCATGGTACGCAGTCAGTCACGAGACTGTACTAATATCTTTACTTCTATGATTGTACATTTTGTGATAGTTAAGTTTGCCAGGTAGCAAACTGTATATTAGCTCTTTGACTGACCGTAGCTGCATACCAGTCACCTGATTGCTGCCAACCATGGTGGTTATCAATGTATTTCTGCTAGAGATCAGTATGCAGCACTACGCTGTCACAAGCATACAATTATTACATTATTACATTTTTTTTCTTTTTTTTCCTACTGTAATTTTTAATAAATAAATAAACAATTTCATTTATTATTAGTTATAATTTGTTTACAGGAGGCTGTAATTGCCAGGCAACCGAACCGAAGATTCCATGAACAGCACAATGGTTTTTGAAAACTTGATACTCAACTGATGTGTGCTCATAACTGTTAATACTGTGTATAATGATTATTTTTAACAGCTTTGATCATGACTCAATCAGAAACTTAAAAGTGTCTGTTTTATAATTTTTTTTGTCCATCAAATCTGCAAAAAGCAAAACAGCTATGCAATTCTTCACTATCTATAAAGGCATTTAAAAGCTATTCCAAGATGCTTTTTCCTTACCTCCACTTTTAACGAGAATGTCAAACAAGTCATCTATGTGCTGATTGTTGGAACCGTTCTCCTATGAAAAGACAAACAGATTAATAACATTACAGTAAATGTATACATCTACTGCACCATCAGGAAAATAGACTCTGTAAACATTTGCCACCAGAGCAGAAAAGGCAGATGATGCAGATGAACAGAGAGCAGAGGAAGCCATACTTTGAGATGATGAAGGGGGTGGCATGCTGGTTTTGGAGAAGGAGGGGTAAACAAAGTGTGCCGGTCAAAGGTTGGGCACACTTCTCCCTGCAAGAGAGGGAGATCATGATAAAAGGGAGAAGAAATGAGAAAGAGAAAAGGAAGGGATTACCTTTGATGAGTAAAAGCAATACAGAAACCAAAAGGGGAAAATGAGATGTGTTATGAGATGAAATGAAACACAAAGCTGGTTCAGGCTGAACTGGATGATGCTGTACCTTGAGTGAAGGGGGTGAGCTGGGCTGAGTGATAGGGTTGGGCTCCTCGCTGAGGAAAAAAGGCTGGAGATTGGGTGGGGCAGACACCGGATGACTTGACTGTTGAACAACAGGAGTCTCCAAATGCAGTGCTGCCTTCTGCACCTGCGGGAGGGATTAAGGCTGATTATATACTACAATACCTTAAAATTAAAGTGTCAAAATTGGACTTGACCAGTATGTTATTACTAGCATTCAGGAAATGCCTGCTCTTAGCCAAATTATCAATTGTTGCCTGATGTTTGTTTTTTAAATAAGCCATAAATCCAGTATGTATCAGGGTGAAATCAAGCACATATTCACATACTTTTGGACTGGGCTGTTTGACAGGAGCAGCTTGCTGGGGCTGCTGGGGCTGCTGGGACTGGTTTATGGAATTAGCCACTTCATGAGTCGACTGGCTGGGTAGCTTGACAGGGGTGGACTGCAATCTCTGGGACAAAAAGCAAAATCATCACATAGTTAATAAGGAGTGCTTCTATGTGCAATTGCCTATTCATTTACACAAAACAGTAAGAAAAACTGAAACCATATGGCACAATGGTGTTACTCATGCATTACCTGTAGGGTGATGCGCCCATTGGTTTTGTTTAGAGAAGATTCACCATTCAGGCTGTCCACACTGTTATTGGCAAGAGCAATCAGGTAGTGGTTGCCATTACCATCTGTGACAAGAGTGGGTGCTGGGTGAGCTTTCAGAAGATCCAGTGGAAAAGATGTGGTCACTTGAGTGCCAGTCTGTTGGTTGATAAACACTTGTGAGATCTGTGAAACACAAGGCAGGAATTAGAGCTCTGAAGGTACTGACATGCCCATTAAAAGCCTCACATCATAATGTATGCGTGGAAATGCAGACAATTAAATGTTTTGTCTAAGCTTCAACAACTATTATTAAACAAGTTTTGTGCTGTTTACCATTTCACACAACCTGACTGACCTGTTGTGTCTGTAACGGTCGTTCTTTGTGCTGCTGTTGCTTTTGTGGCCTTTGTTGCTTCTTCTGATTGGCCTGCAGCTGCTTCTGCTTCTGCTGGCTCTGTTGGATGATTAGCTGTTGAAGCCTCTGTTGTTGTAGCAACTGTGACTTGGGCTGCTGCTGCAGTTTTGTCTGCTCTACCTGCATTTGCTGCTGCTGTTGTTGCTGCACCTGCAGCCGGTGGATCTGCTGCAGTTTCAGCAGTGTCTGCTGAGAGCACTGAGTCTGTGTCTTCCTCTGTGGCTGTGCCTGCGGTTGAGGCTCTGCTAACGTCTCCATGTCCTCCTTTGCCTCCTCCTTCACTTTCACTGCCTCTCCGTTAGGCAGAGCTGCTCTTTCCGTCTTCGTTGCATTGTCCGTGCCTTCTGTGCCCGCTCCGCGCTTACCCTGCTCCAGCTGAGAGCGCAATGTCTCCACCAGCTGCTGTTTCTGCCTCAGCATGCGCGTCAGCTCCTCAATTTGTTTGTCCTTCTCCTGCAGCATCTGGTCTTTGTCCACAACAAGCGCTGCGGGTCCCAGTGGTGCGGCCAGTGAAGGCTCCTGGGGCTGAGGAAGCAGAGGTGGGACAGGGGTGGGACGGGAAAAGCAGCATGAAGACTGCAGCAGGCCCAGAGGCTCCTCTTTAATTGGGGAGGGGTGCTCAGGAGATGGGTGCAGAGTAAGCTGTGTGAGAGGTGAACTCACCTAGTCAGAGAGAAAGAGAGAAAGAAAGAGAGAGAGAGAGAGAGAGAGAGAGAGAGAGAGAGAGAGAGAGAGAGAGAGAGAGAGAGACTATTAACTTAGAAGTAAAAGTAAAATTTTAACCAGGGTAAACTTACAGTAAAATACTGTTAAATAAAGGAATGACTCTAAAACATAAAGCTATATAAAGCTATGAGGCTAACATTGCTAACAAACACTAGAAGCCTATAGTCATCCAAATTATTTCTATAAATAAATCCCCAAAACCTACTCTCAAACCGCATCCGCCATTAAGGTCTTCATTAAGGTCATGCAGACTTGTCACACAGTATGACTCACTGTAAACTGTAGAAATCAAGCAAACTTTGTGTGGCCACAAACTGTCCAAATTCAAGATTATAGTTACTTATACAAGGAAAATATAAAAATCATGAATGGAATCTGTAGCAACAATATGCCTGCATGATCTATGTGCATATGAAAGGCAGTCAGAATTCAGCACAGGACTTGTCTAAAAGTGACAGCCTGCTGTACTGAGGTAAACAGTAAGGTTTTGTAGCTTGCACTACTAGTAATACAGTGTCTGAAATCACATCGACAAGCCATGGATGCGGTTTGAGCAGGTTGAGAGACGTTATTATATATAGTATAGTTATTATATATAGTAATTTATGTACTATATGTATTAGCTATGCATTATATAGTCATCTTATATTTTTAATGAATAGATTTGAGTGACACCTAAGTTCTGGTGTTTGTTAGGAACGTTAGGCTTGTAGGTCCAATGCTAAACTAAAGCAAAACTTGGACACCAAGCACGTCTTTGCTGAGCATGTAAATTTAATATTTTGCCCAACCATTCCTTTAACTAATAAAACACAAATACAGTATTGAGTGATACTGTAAATAACACACAAGTTATTTATAATTTAAGTGTTTTATATAACAGTTCTGCAAAACTGCAAGGAATGTAAAGCAAATAATTCATATTGTTTCAAATATATGTTTTTTTAAACTGGCAATGCCTTCTGCCTTGCCAGTAGTTCGAGCAGTTCAGACAAAAGCGACCACTGTTGTTACTTAGCAACCGGTGGCCAGCAGAATGATACGTATATGGTAGAAAATAGCATGCTCAATGTTGGGTGAGAACTCTGTGCTGCATAATAAAACAACATACCATGTTGTTAAGAAGAGGATATATATACAACCACACATATATACACACCTTGTTTCACTCAAACTGAAAACAAAAGATGAACTGAAACATATGATGTGATATGTTGTAAGGTCAACACTGAATAACAGGAGCATTATAAAGCTATTTATAAATACTTCCTGAGTGAAAAGAGAACTGACCATTTCTCCAAACACATCCCCATTACAGCTGGTCTCATCTGCACTCATTCCAGCCAATGAGCGGTCGGACGGTGTCGGAGACACTGGGGGGGAGGAGCTAGTACTGCTGAAGCGCATAATTTGGGGCGGAGCTGCAGTATGGACTCCATTAGTTGTAATCAGTGGAAAGGCTGCCACTTTCTCAGCGACGTCTTTGGATTGTTGCGGAGCTGAGACACAGGACTGAGCTGCCACTTGCTGAGACGTAGCTGGGACCGTTTTCACTGGTCCAGTCCCTGTTGATGGTCCTGCACCACCATTCTGCTCCTGGTAGTTTTTCAGCCTTTCTATTAGGTCATTCTTAGTACCGGACACTGTCAAACCCCTCAGTTTCAACTCCTGCTTAAGCTCAGCAACCTGTAAAAAAGCACATCAATAATATACCGAATACTGATATCACGACTTTGAAGCATTGCAGAATTTAAGCAGAAAATTCACTTACTTTGAATTCATCCAAGTTTGCAGGCAATACACCTGGCTTTGCCCCTCCTGCTGGTGGCTGGTTCTGACGATTAGACCCGTTCTGAGTGGATGGTGTAGCAGAGGGTGTGGAAACTGATCGTGAAGGGGAAGGGCCAGTATTGGCAGGCGGCTGTTGCTGCTGTTGCTCAGCAGGAAGTCTAAAAATATATAGTGTTCAGCTTCATTCTTATTGTGGAAAACTTACATAAAGTTCTGCAACATGAGATGGCACAATACCGGTTCTCCTTTCCAATACCATAACCTTGAGTAATGGTTGATACTGCTACTCTTACAACTTGTTTTTCTTTAAAAACTACTAAGCTTAAAAATCAGCTATTTTCAATCTGAAGATCACTTAAGATGGCAATCAAAAATATCACTTACAGAGTAAATGTTTATTACACAATTCAAATTAGACCAGTGGTGCCCAATCCTCGTCCTGGGGATCTACCACTTTGGAGCGTTCTGATCCGACACCCCTGGTTCTAGTTTTCACATCTTCCCTGAGGACGTTACCTGGATCAGGTATGTTAGATTAGGGTTGCAGCTAAACTCTGCAGGGTGGTAGATCTTCAGTACAAGGATTGAGCACCCCTGAATTAGACCATAGCAAAGGATTGCAATTCTGGTATAATACTTAGCTAGCTATTCTTATGTTAATGTAAGGCTACATGTGGCTACTGCTGTCACGTGACCTTTTATGTTGTGTCATACTTGGATACACTACAGAATTTGTTTGGACAATATTGGATTCTCCCCCCGCCCCCCCATCTTATCCAGCGCATTCTCCTGGTATCGGACTGGTACCATCTCTATCAACATCTGTGCTGTGCACTAACATAAACAATAATAAAAAACCTGCAAACCTTTTCTAATTAACAGAACTTACTTGGGGGGAGCAGGCAGGATGGTGTGATAGTTGTAGTGCTGCTGTTGCTGGCTGATAATCTGAAGCTGAAGGAAGAGCTGCTGCTGGTGGAGGATCTTGGCATAAGATGAGTCCAGCTGGGGTGGCGGTTCACGGTCATTCTTCTGATCAGGGGGGATGTACTGGTGATATTTGAGCTTCTTCACTTTAGGCTTGTTCTCTTTAGGTTTCTTAGACCGCTGAGTAGGCCGATCAGAACTAGACTTTGACTGCGGCTGCAACAATGATAACACATGAACAATAAAGGTTAAATATGAGCATTCAAGGAAAAAAGTGGTCACTTTTATGTTAATAAGAAAGCGCTGATGTATGTCACTCACTTTGGCAGGTCCAGTAGGAGGACGCGCACTTGCAGCCACCAGAGTTCCACTGGTCATGTTTTGTGAAGAGGAGGAGTCAGTGGTATGAAGCAGAGATGCTGGGGCCTGAGTGAGGAACTGCAAGTTGTTCACCAGTTAGTTACAGCATTCATGCTCAAATAAATGTATTTTGGTAATCTTGATTCTGATCCCAATGTTGAATAATATTGTCTAGCACAGTGTATGCCTTGAAGACCCACCTGCAAGGCATAGTTTTGTCTTTTTCCTGATGTAACACACTGAGTCATATCATTAGCTAATTTTCAAATCCTTCTTGAGCTGAATCAGTATGATGCAGGCAAAACACTAGAACTGCGATTATATTTCCTTATACTGCATTTGTAAAACAACTTTCAATATATTAAAATGGTACCGCAGAACTAATAACGTGACATGATTGAAGATCACTCTGACCAAAATTATTTAATGTAGTTGAATAATATTTTGATTCATTAAAACATCCGCAGACATGCTCATCTAAAGCTGATTAGGCAAGATTCTCACAGCAAAAACAATAATTGTTTAGATTGCTCATTTACATGTTGCAGCCTTCTGCAATATCAGAACTGCAAATGGCTATACTGGCGATAATAATTAACAAACCATGTATTGCGCAAACAAAGAGCATGGAAAATACAAAACTATGCAATGCAGGGAGCGTCTCCAAGACTGGAGTTGGGAAACACTGCTCTAGCATGTTGACATATATCTACTAGCTTAAGTTTGACATAAAAAGAACCTGTAATGTACCTGTGTGGGTGAGGGGTTTCTGTTTAGATTGAGCATATCGGAGGGAGAGTGCTGAAGGGTGTGGCCTAGCGGGGAGTCCTGACTGCCTGGCTGATCAGGTGATAGGGCATCACTGCTATCCTCATCCAATGAGGAATTCTCACCTTTCGGAGACCCTGAGAGAATGTGGAGAAAGAAAATGGACTCTAATGTGACAATAAGTGACTACACAAATGACTCAGTGGACAGAGACAGGGCCGACTGCTAAATGATGACGAAAGAGTGTAAAGAAGCCTGTTAATGATGTCAGTGGTTATGTGGTTTAATGCTGACCTATAAGTGTGGGCACAGGCAGGATGTTCTTGTGGATGAGCTCAATGGGGCCAGGCCGGTGAGAGATCTTATCGTTGAGGTCATCAGCTAGTCGAGCCCTCTTCAGCTTCAGCTGCTTGGCCTGCAGAGAGGGCTCTGCTGAAGTCTCTGTGAGTGGGACAACTTACAACTTACAAATCAAAAACATACAAACACAGAGCAAAACCACACTCCAAAAATTTCTGAATACCAAAATAGATTTGACCATCACATAACACCTAACATTTATGCAAAAATACACAGAAGTTTGTTCCTGTTGTTTTGTGTCTGTTCATCCTGTTGTGTTGTGTTGTGTTGTGTTTGTGCTTTTTTATTTTGTTCTTAGTTATATTTTGCTAATTAAAATCAAGAACTGAGAGCAAAGACTTCAAGCATATCGACAAACAGATACATTTCTGCATGCAGATAGTAACTCATACATCATATATTACCAAATAACTTTATATTAGCAATTGAAAAAAAAACAGATTGTCCATTTTCCTGTAGGCATCTACCACTTCTAAGTTACAGGGCACTGTCTGACACTCACCCTCCAGAATGTGCATCCTCACCAGCTCTGACCTCTCTGGACGACTCCTGATCTTCCTCTTCAAATAATCCTCGGTCTGGAGGAAGGGGCAGGCAGACAAAAGTGAGCTGCTTTTTGAGTACGAAACCTGACATATTAAAGAGGCTTCTTAGACTTCCATTTCTTATGCTGGACTGGGATTCTGCTAACAAGCAGGAGGGATATTATAAGGTCGTGTTAAGATACTCACCCGTGCCCTCTCCAGACTTTTTCTCTGCTCGTGAAAAGCAGCAGGACTCTTCAGCGCTGCAGACAGAAGCAAAGATGGACTCACAATCTGACAATAGCACACTGACAGTCATATCTGATATAGAAGAACACACTCAAAGCAGAAGTGTCTATTTACATTAGTGTCAAATTAGTCAATACATCTCAAAGTGCATCATATGACAAGAGATTTAAGAGAAATAAATAGAGGAAGAAAATGAGGAATTGCTGTACGATCAATCTCGTGGGAAATAAAAGGGGTAACTGAAAGTAAAGTAAACCTTGCTTGTTTGATGGTGTGTTCTGGTTAACTCAAGACTAAAAGAGGAGGGGAAAGTACAAAACTAGTCTCCCTGGAGTGGAGTTATAACAGGATATTTGGGGGTCTGATCATGTTCCAAGGCCACAGTTGAAGCTAGAGCCCTGTTCAATTAAAATGATGTACACTGTTGCACAGTAAGCACTGTGAGCACAGTAGTAAGCAGCCATTTCAAACTAAACTCACCAAAGACACTGCAGAAATTTCACCATAAATCTCTTTACTTTTCTAGGAGGTACAAAAAAAGAGCTACTTTACAGCTACCAAAGTCTGTGAACATTCCATATGTTAAAGAATGAGCAATGAAGAATGAGGAATGAGAATGTGGCCGTTGAGTATGGTGTAACAGCTCTGACCGGCTAAGAGGTGACGACATTTCCTCAATGACAGGCTTGGACAGGGGGTGCCCAACAGGGGTGATGACGATTAAAAACGGTGTGGCAGGTCAGTGTGATGTCAGGATGCACCTCAAGCTACTCTGACAGAGAAAAGATGAAACCAATGTGAGTTGGTCAGCTGTCTAGTCTCTTATAATAGCCCAGGAAATGTTACAGGACCATAACGTGATAGCAGAAACAGACCCCCCCCACCTGTTCTCACATCCTAGTGTTTATCATCCCCTCCTCTTTCTTCCACTGAGCTAACATGGAGTAATGACTTTGAGGTAAGTGCCTGCCAGCAAAGTTTATGACAAAACATGCTCAAAACTTTGTGTGCTGCTTAATAAACCATACACAGTGCATGTCAGCAGAGCTGCACAATATAGTGTTAATTGCTAGCATGATATTGGCTTTTGCAATATTCATATCAGAAAAAGCCAGAGTATGCAAATGAGTACTCCATCAAAGTGTTTTTAATGTCGGTTGTGAACATTGTGACCAGTTCCAAATTATAGTTTGTGTGGGTGTTTTGGTGAATCAGAGCAATCATGTAACCAAACAAAGTTAAATTATTTTGGTTAAAAAAGTAAGGGCCAATCTGTGTCACATCGCTGCTTCATCAAAGTATTTAAGTATACTTTAAGGCATACTGCAATTGCAATATGTAAAAACAATCTCAATATTAGCATAATACTGAAAACTACTGCTTTTGTTCATCTGAACTAGGGTTGGGCAGTATTCAGTTTTTTCATATCTTCAAACTGTCTCTAAATATTACCACGATACACGCTAATACCAGTGTGTAAAAATAAAAATAGAGTATAAATGCAGTTCGCTTATATGATCACTAAATAAGTGCGGTGCACGATTTTCAATCCATCATCTAATAAATGTCAAACCATTTATCTAACAACAATTGGTAAATGTTACATAGTGCTGCTAACTATGAAAGAGGAGCTAGTTAGCATTAGTTTGGCTGACATTATTAGGGAAGAGACCTGTCACTGGTTGAAAAATGAACAGGAAAACTCATAATGCGCCACATGGGGTCAGTTTACAGGCAAAGTCTTGCCCTTCAGTAAAAACAGCCAATTGGCCTGCTGGTAAAGCGGCACGTGGGAAAAGCCCTCCCTTGTTGTGTGTAGTAGCCTGAACCACTCTAAAGAAAAAAAACACACTTTTTGATAGTTAATTGAGCCAAACGAACTCTGCTTACCACAGAACAGGTGAGACTCTGACTAACTAAAACACCATTCACACAGGTTTGATAAATGAATCAAATCTGTGGGAGTGAAGGGGAGTGACTGGTGTTTGAGGGACAGAAAGGCAAATTTAAAACTGTTCCCTGGAGTTCGGATCTGTTGCCTCTTAGCTAACTTAACATTGGCTCATGCCTGGCCCACACTACAGGATTTTAAAAATCCTAACCTCTGTTGAAAATGTTAGACACTCCACACATAATGATATTTTTCACAATTTTTTCTATCCTTAATCGTTGTTAGTCATTAAAGTTCCCACACTACACAATCTGCTATGAATGAAACACCATACACTTCCAGATTATGCACGCGAACAAGAGTCCCGACGAATAGTTCTGATTCTCAAAACCTTGCAGGTGTTTATTGCAAACTTGCGTGATTTTAGACCTAAACAAACACTGTGGATGATAGCGAGGCTATTGCTATGCTGTTGATGTGTACTCTCTGCACAGAAAAAGGCAAGCGGAAAAATAATGTGGATGAAGCCATGGCTGAAAAAAAGGGGTCAACAGGGCTTATTCACATTGCAACGTGAGCCTGAGGTAAATACATACACACATAGACATACACACTTGAGGTGAATAGTTCTCGATTTAGCCACCATGTTTACAACATCTTCTGTACACACTGAGAAGTTCAGTTCAGCTCAGCTCTAACTGGTTAATGGTCTTTCAGGCATGATGTTAACACCATATTTCACTCCAGAGAATCGAAGGCCAACTTCCACTACAGGACACTGAGTCGTAAATATTGAACGTTTAATATTTACAATTCACAATTGGGGCGGTCCTGACTCGATTGGGATAGATTGGATGAGTAAATTATAGACACGCCACACCACAGAATAATCTGGGAAGCTCATCGTTTAAGATCACCCTGATATCAGGGGACCTTCTGCGATTGTCAGGAGGAACAAACTGTCCTCAAAATTGGCCCGAATATCCTGTGGGGTGGGCCAGGCATTAACAAGCAGGCTACATATCCAATCAGTGGCATGCACCACAGGACAGGTCTGAATCTGCTGTTGGAGGGACAGAAAGCCAAAATCTGTTGTGTGGAATTCAAGAGCTGTAACATATTGGCTAACGTTAAGCTACTGATGGCTTAGTCAGCAGGCCAAAAGTGCCACACTACAGTACAGTGGTCCCAATTAACTGACGTTCAAATTGCACAGCTTTATAAAATACAGACTTACATGTGACAGTACATAGCTGAGTGACAGCCAAAAGCGAATGCGTTCTGTGGTATATGTAGCTGTTTGTCGCCAAGCCACTCAAAGCAGAACGATGGGGAGTTGACTCCAAAAGAATCATTTCTTTAATCCCAACATGTCTGGGAGTCGGGGATGACTCTTGAACAATGACTCTGAGAGTCGATATGCTTGAAGTCTCTTCGACTCTGTTGAGTTTGAATAGTATGAGATTGTTTAACTGCCAGCACCAACACTACTCACCAGCTGTTGTAAGCACAAACTCTGCTCACAACGTTTTCAATACGTCTGCCTCTACACTGCATTGCCCTGCACCCTAACTCTTTCATTGTGATTAGGGTAGCAATAAACAATGATTAGAAACAGTACAAGAAACCCAAAAATGAACTATATTTCCACAGAACAATGTGGAAAACAGGATGAAGCTGAAGTTGGCTTCTTATCTGCTACTTTTTCAAAATATCCATTCCATCATAAATGGTGCTGCAATTAACGTTTTGGCACGTATGCCCAATTAAGGTAAATGCTGCATTATTTAAGATGGAGCAGAGAAGTTGAAAGAGCTGACAAATATGATGCCAACTTCAGCCTTGAGAAAAGAGGAAACAAAATAATATCCAACTGATGCAGAATGAAAACTTGGTTCCTTTTCAAGAACTGAAAATTTCTCTTTTTAAAGAATTATGACTACAGTAATGATTTTCTCACCTCTCACCCCTCATTATGTGAAACAGGCTGGTAATGGGATGGTAAGATGAGTTTAAACATTAGTCAGCTGTAAGCATTTGTCAAACTACCTGATGTTACTTGGTTTAATCTATGATTTTTCATCATGTCACTGTAATCTGCATTTTCTCAAAAGATATGGTAAACTACGTGTAGGATGGTTTAATCTCTTCTGTATCCCTTTATCACAGGCTGTGGCACTGTCTTGGTTAAAATTAAGTGGAGTCAAAGAGTTGACTACCGGTTCTCCATTGAGTCAAGAGTTGGAGTCAAGTCCAGAAAAAAAGGAGTCGTGCATCACTACTATTCTGTGTAGTTTTTCTTAGGTAGTCCCAAGTCCTGATTTAGCAGCACATCCGACAGGAAAAGAAAGCACAACCAATACGAAACAGCTGTGAGAACCATTTGGTTCAACAGTGGAAGTCGAGAGAAGTGATCAGCGGGGGCGCAATTTTTAGATGTTAATGCATGTTGGACATGTTCTCATCTCTGGCTACAACTGTTTTCAAGCAATGCAAAATGTGAACAGACGGAATGTAATTATTTGGCTGTTTATTACATAAACAAGGACCATTTTGAAATATCATTTTTAACTACCACAGTATACCTTAGTACTGTTATACCACCCAATCCTAATCTGAACTTTTATAACCTTGCTTCATTTTGATTAACACATTGTTTGACTCAAATAAAACCAGTTAAACTGCTTGTTACTTTATGAAGCATATATTTTGGCTCAACTGATAAAATACTCTTTAGAGTGTCTATTTGGGCAATAGGAGATGGGAATTAAGTTATCAGCATAAAGCTGCAGTTCCAGGGTGGTTAGATGAGCTCTTGGTCATGAAGTGGCCTGCATGTAAGATATAAGAGTACAAGAGTCATCATTGACTTCTACTGCTATAAAGTTCAGCTGTAGCTGCTGCGGCAGTACTTCCTCCTTCATACAGATAGGCAGAACAGAGACCAGTGTGAACAGTGTGGCTCTTCTTGTCTGATGAGCAGAACCCAGAATAAGGAAGTGGAAACAGAGGGGGAAGCAAGACCACCTGATAACACAAGCAGGCCCTTTCACAATGACTGAGCAATGACACTTGAAGGCCAGACCAAAGCTTACAGACATTCTCCTATAGCGTACCTCCAGTGTCTCTAGCCGTAAGACCAAACCAAAACAACAGCTTTGACACTGACTGCATGAAGCTATGCAAAGTGCAGTGCAGTGTATGGAGTTCAAAGCGTTACAGAATCAATGATCTAACTAGCTGTTTATACAATGCAATGCAAAAGAACACCTACTATGGAAAAAAAGTGTGTGAGTGGAACAGTTTTTTAATTTGCACAGGCAAATTAAGCCTAAACTTTCATGATTTGAGATGTAAAATTACATATTAAAGGACTGAAATATTAATGGAACCTAAAACGGAGTAGCAAACAATCCCTGTTACATCTGGTACAGCTTTACTATTACAAGCAGTAACAATGAAACTTAAGTCTTGCAACACACTTGAACTTCCTTAGTCTTGCATTAGTCAAGTCATTTGAATAAATAAAGCCTACAATAATACTCGTACTCTTCATTCAAATTTTTATAAACATGCAAATATGGTCTTTGATGACCTGCTTTGTTCAACATCGCACAAGGTGACAGACGTTTACATTCAACTTAACATGCAATGTGACAGCTGCATGTTTGGACATCTGCATTGACAGCTGCACTGCAATGACAGCGGCACTGGGTGAAAAACGAATAAGCACTGTCTTCAACAAAGTGCACAAACATGGTCTAAAACTTAAGGAGAAGAGGAAAACTTACGCGGCATGATTCCTTGGTTGACAAGCTCCTCTCGTGTCCTCCTCTGTTGTAGTTTGAGCTGGAGGACTGCATGAGGACAGAAGAAGACAAGTTAGAGAGAATTCAAATTCAGAATTCAAACACCAACTCAACAGTCACATCAGGATGGCAATGTTATGACTCCCTCTCCGCCTCTCAGTGGCTCCTCCACATCCACAGGCTCAGAGTTTGTGTACACAGAAGCTGAAGTATGAGTCTGTCTTGGGTTTGAAAGTAGTCTCTTTCTGGTGATCTCTCACTAACATACATGAAGAGGGGAGGGACTGTGAAAGATGGTGGCTATTTGCTGTTACACACTTCCTGTTTCTCCACGCTCGACCGTTTTCTTTAATTCAAACAGAGTGCCACAGAGAGCAAAAGCAATGAAAGAAGAGGTGGAGGATCAGGGTCAAAAACAGGAACATACAGAGCACTAGCACAAGAGAGGGCAGAATTGCTCAACTGAGAACTGGGTGGAGTGTGAAATCCAGCATCACTTTTTTTTTGTTTAGTTTTGAATAACACAACATAAGATCAGATCAGTCACTCTTCAAACACTTCTGTTATGACTGAACATCATGTGAATTCATTCTGTCCAATCAAAACAATGGGTGCAATAGAATTGAAATAATGCACTAGTTAAATCATTCAGCCATAAATCAAAATTTACCTGTTTTTTCCCCTTAACACATATTTGATCAGTCAAGACATGAACAAAAGTACTAGAGAACTGGAGTAGAGCAGCAGAAGCTATTTTGAAACTTGAGATTACTTAACAGCTCAATGTGGTTTGAGGCAAGTGTGTTGTTGATGGTTTAAGCATGCAATGTGCACAGTGCTTGAGCCTATACGCTTCCATTACTTACTAGAGATATTACTCTCACAGCTCCAGTGCAAAACTAAAGGAAAAAAAAAAACTTCGGACCCTAAACTTGACTTAATTCGGGGTAACGTCACTAGGCTTCTGCGACTGTGCAATATACCACTGTCCGATCAAGCCCCTAGCCATCACAGACTGACGACATTATTTTTTGGGGGACGTGGTGTCATGCAATAGCGTCTTTCTAAGTAAAAAAATGCATGTGTTTTCATGTCAGCCAGTTAAGCCAGTGTTCGTTTATGAAACAAATATGCTTTTGTTTTGTGTATCTTTTAACTTGATAGCCATTGCAATAGACGCAACCTATCAGCAAATTCCCGATACTACAGACAATCGGCTCAAGCCTAAACATCATTCAAACGTTAGTGGGCTTAGTGGAGTCATCCTTGCACTGGTGAGACCACCACGCTTTGTGGAATCAAGAGCCAAGGCACACCTGTCACCCTGTATAAATGACATCATCATGGGCATGGCGCTGCAGTGTTCACTGGTCAGCTGTTCTGACCTTCATGGGCACTGTGTATGGGATTAGTGCTGGGCTTTATGGAGCAATAGCACCATTCACTCTCTCCACTTCACATACACATGTGCCACACAATGACATGCCAAAACTTGCCAAAGGACATGTATAGCACAACTGACTGGCACGAATGAGAATTCTATTCTGAGTATGTGAAGCCCACCCTCTCAATTCAGTTTGGGCTAGTTCATACACAGCCCCCTCGTCCACTCTCTCTTGTAAAGTGGATGCTTTTGTTAGTTGTACTGTTACTGTGTCATCTAAATTCTTCTCATTCCCACTTTAACTGCAGCCTTTGAACACTCAAAACACCCCCTCCTCTGTTAACCACTATTTCTGTCTCAAGTGCACCACTGAGGAAACCAACCCCCCACCCCACACCTCTCTGAGAAACTTGGACCATTACTGTAAATCAATCAGACACCTTAAACGCCAGCTCTCTCTGCTTACGCTGAGAGGCAGGAGAACTAATTTCACATTTAATGGAGACCAGCGAGTGTCCTACTTCTATATCTACAGCAACTTGTCCTTTGGAGTCAAAAGGAAAGAATCAAGAGCCCAAACTCACAGTGGCCAACTGGGTTAATCCCTAAGCCTGCCAGTTGGTGAGTTCAACTAAACATGTCTCTTGTCCCCAAAGGCCCTGAGCTGGGCACATCACATAGGTCAGCCTGGCTCTGACTCTTGGCTTCACACTCTAACAGACTATCAGGGGAATAACCTCACCTCTTAAGACTTTAACCTAGACATGTCGTGCTAAAACATCTCACAAGTTTTAATGGAGTAAAACTCACCTGGAAAAATTGCTCAACTGCTTTAACTGCAGATTTTATTATTTAGCAGTGCTTAAGAGAAATCTAATATACAAGTTATGTGCTTATTAGATTATTATGTAGTTGGAATGTGGGACTACATACAGGCCCTTGTAGTTTAAGGAGTTAACATGTCAGAACGGTAAGTAAATCTGTATGGCCTGTATGTATATTTTAACCAGATGAACCAGATGGGTCTGGGTAGCGTGCCAAAAACAATAACAATAATAATAACAGTAACAATTTCAGTGTGCCACCAGTTTTCTGTCACTGTACAAAAGATGCACTATTTTTTTTTTCAAGCAAGCACTTTTAGAGTGCAGCCTGGATTAATGAGCGCTAACTACTGTTCTGTTCAATCAGAATAATGAAAAAGTGTTACTGATGTGTGACTTGTCTTTTCTATTCATGCATTTTCTTAGTCAAAACCAAGAACAGATTCTTATAAAAATAAATACAACAGCATTCAGAAATCACATTATTAACTGAAAATAGTACACATAACGGCAGAAATTTGGCCACTATTTTGCAGCAGCCTTAAAGGGCTAGTGTACAAATGACAAGTGATGTCTTCGGCCCACCTTCTTTAAGGCTATGATAGGCATGTCTGTCATAGTCCAGCCTCACAGGCTGCTTATCTCGATCTGTTCTCGTTGGTTGATCCTCAAAAGAGGATGCATCAACGTGAAGGCAATGGTTGGTATCCAGCATGACTGAATCCAGTACTGAAGATAATGATCTCAATTGAGTGTCTCAATTCAGCACAAAGGCTGAAATCGCAGAAACCAATACTCCAGCTGCTTTTCTTGAGGTGTGAAAATAGGTTTCATGTGTAGCTAATCACAGGCGGAACTTCTCCATAATGGTCAGATTTGTTTAAAAGGACAGCAATATTTCCTCAATTGAGCACCTAAGAAGTTCACACAATGGACAGCACAGTTTCCACTTCTTCTGTCTGGTCAAAAGGTGTGTTTCCACTCGCCTCCGCTTCCCTTGTCCCTTGACTTTCCTCTTCTCTTGTCGCAGGGGTAAATGACAAATCTCCAAAATAAACACAGAGGCACTACCCATAAGTTATATCCAGAGAAACCAGAGAAAAAGATGAGCAGCAGAGAGAATGGGACTGCATAGGCTTCAAGCAAGACAAACATGCTCTCACAGCACTGTCCTCTGTCTCTCTCTCTCCCACCAACACACACACACGCCCACACACACAGAGGCAGGCAGAAGAAGGGTTGCTGAGTGCCGATGACTGTACTGTCTGCCTCAGCTGTTGCCACTCGTTCACTCATTACAATCTGCAGACCCTCTCACACTCCCTCGGCTCCATTACACCAGTCCAAACTAAAGTACCCACTCATGTAACACATAAAAAACAAATCTGTGGCCAAAACTATTAATGAGCTTTATGAGTTCATATTATTAATCAGAGGATAAAAAAAAACACTGCACTGACACGTAAAAAGATTAAACAAATGAAACAGTCCTCTCCAGGCACCAGATGTTTATGACCTGTTCAAAGTTCATATTTCAGAGTCATTTTCAGACTGAGATCATATATTATGTCCCATAGAAATTCACATACAAAAGGTGAGTATGAGCTCTTCAGTGTATTAAGAGTCTCAGTCTCAGAAGCTTCACCCACAGACATATATGTTGTATGTCGGCCACAACTACAGGAATTTTGTCAGTCACACACTTTATCAGTGTGAAGGGAAACTAACTTCTGTTTATCAAGCTAGTCACTAAAAGCAAATAGTCACCTGCTCTGCATACAATGAGCCTTTAGGCCTTTCCCTAATTATGACATTATTACATCGCAATCATTTAAGCTGACCATTACAGCCTGGTGCTATAACACCTTTAGAGGGTAGCATTAAGTAACGTTTAGCTACTTGAGCTTAAGCTGTGTCTGTCAGGGAGCAAGTATTGTGCAAAATATCTAGGAAGCAAAACAGATAATCAAGCCAGTTTGTCCACTTTAGGCTTGCATGTTTCATACAATGCAGCTGGATACAACGTAGTTGCTTTGAATGAACAAAAACAGATGATTTTAATTTTAATCGCAATTAGTTATATGGCAATTAATCGCCACCTAAAATTTCAAAATCATGACAAGTACATGAGTCTTATGAAGTAATATGCAGGTGTTGTATTCATGGCATCCTATCTTCAGAAGTTATACAAGGGTTTTATATTTAAAGCAGTCAGTAGCAAGTAAATGAGATATCCTTGGGTGCTCCCGATGCATACCTCTTTGTTTCATGTGGGTCTGCTCTTGTTGTAGAACCATTTTGACAATTGCCTCCCCCTACACGTCATGTGAAAACAACAGCTTGTAGCTGGCTGTTTTGCATGCCAATCAGAGTTGGCCGCTGTTCACAATGAGTGGTGAAACCCACCAGACTCTCTGATGACAGTCAGAAGTCTGGTTTGAGACACTAGTGTATTAACAAGCGAAAGGCAATTAGTTCACTAAAAGAATGGCAATCTCGTTTGACCCTTCTATTCCTGCCTCTCAGCAAGGTGCAACAGTTTTTGGGGGATATTTCCAGCTCTTGACAAGCATACATGTATACCCTTGCCTCAATCCTCTGAGTGGCTCCTGCAGAATGCTGGCGAGGTCAACTCTGGCCCCCCTTGGGTCCTCTCCCAGTTTTAAATAGTAAGGCCAGCTGGCCAAAAGGCGCTATATTCAGCTCAGTATCACCTGTGCAGGCAATGGGTAGAATTACTCACAGATATCCCTGCACTAAGAGACCCACAATTATGATGACACACGCATTTGCACCAACATATAAAAATCGACAAACATGTCAAAGAGAGCGAGGTTGAGGAATACGCCAGGCTTTTTTTTTTTTTTGAAACCGTGGACATTCATTTTCCAACATTATAAGTAGCACTTCTGCATGCTGTTAGACATTTATAAGGTGCTTTCCAGTCAAACATGAACTGAAATTCAGAAAAAAGCTTTGCTTGAAGGGGGCACCTTAGGTGATACGGTAGCCAATATGGCATAAAACTGCATTTCAATTTCAAGGAAATCAAGAAAAAAGGCACTACACAGAGACATGAGTGTGAAAGCATGTTTCTTTGTGTCATTAGCTAGAGCTGATTTCAGTTCAATGAAACACAGCCATTGTTACTTAATGTGGATTCTTGGGGGGGTGATAACTTTTCGAGGCTTGGTAGTGCAGCCTTACATTGGTCACTATAACATTTCAATATTACATGGTAATGGATTATATGAAATTTCCACCAGCCCTAAAAGCTTTGCTGGACTGATGTCACACTAGCAATGAATAGCAGGGCTCTGATAGGTTGAATGTGAGATGTGAGAGTGACCTCACAGGAAGTTTAACACATCCTACAATAAGACCACATCTACCCACAAGCATCGAGACACCACCTTGACCAAACAAAGCACTACAGAGAAAACATGATCAAAGTCCACGAGTCCCAGACATTCACAGATGAAGAACTATAAAATGACAGGCAGTAAGTACACATGTACTTTACTGTTTATCATCATGAGTAATGCTGTGTATGAATGATGGTCGCAAGGTTATTAGTGATTTATTGTTTAGGAACTGATCACTCTGGTTCATATATTAAAAGCAGAACAAAATCAATGCTAACACATTTGCAATTTAAGCCCTGTAAAGAATAAAAAGAAAAAGCTATAACTGACAGAATAATCCTAGTGATGAAACACTAAAACCCTGCCAAAAAAATCATTACAGAAACCCCAAAACATGTTCAGAGCTTCCTAACAGGGTGTCTTGCAGCACTGTTGTTCTGTTGTACCGTGATGAAGAAATTGCTGTCTTCACAAACTCATTGCAATTTTAAGAAATATTCAAGCTGGACTTTCTTTACCAGGAGAGGTTCTGGAGTGTAAAGAGATTTCACTGGCTGTAAAATGCTTTGACTCAACACTGGCTGTCCTAAATCTAACTACAGGTGCACTTACTCACTTATGAACTAATTCACACGAGATTAACATTCACCAAATTACCACAGAGAGCCCAGATTAAAAGGGTACAGCCCAGATGTTCAGGTCAGCTTTACTCAACAGGCACATCTCTCAATGACAATAACAACACAGCACACTGCCATATGTGACAGAAGGTTTTGTTATTCCATTATTGGGAGATTCAAACAGGAATAGCACTACTGAAGGAGCTCTTGGTTTTGTCATTTTTAGCATTCTCTCTTTCACTCTGTAATTATTACTGCCAGACTTGTAAAAACTATGAACACTGCAGATTTATACTGGATACAGATTTCTTGGCAATCACTTAAATTACAGTAACCTGATAAAACAAATCCATTATAAATATGGCTTTAAATTCTCTCTGTAACTCAGACCAACTCCAAATTCTCTCTGTGTTTAGAATTCACTGCACCCGGTGAAACCTTCAAAACATTACTCCCTTTTCTCCTGCACAATCATGTAGGGTTTTCCTGTACCAGTGTAACACAGTCCTGTACTCAGGACGGGAAAAAAGTTCATCACCTCCTCTATCCCACAGGGAATCTGAGGTACATATCATATTCAAAGTATGTTTTCCTCAAGCCTTTTCAGACTAGGAAGTGCACAAGCTCTAGTAGCGGAGCAGGAAACATGTCATTACATTACTTCATTACACTTCTTTCTGCTTGATTAGGAATTTCAGGATCTTTATGCTCACTTATTCTTTCTCTACTCTAGTCTGTTCTTAGGAGCGCAACACTCATATTTGTGTTAATATTACATCAACTCCAGAGCTGTTCTTGCATGCATAGCATGGGGAAAAACATGTTGGTAGAATTAAGTGGACAAGTTAGGCTGAATCACAACACTATAAACACTCAGGCCACACATAGTTTAACTTTAAAACACAAGAGAACAGAGTCGTTTTGCAAACATGTATAAATCATTCCAAACAAAAGTTCATCCACTGCACCGCTTATTTTATTCCTGTGAGGGAAGGAAATTAAAGGAAGAAAGAAGGAAAGAGAAAGAGGAAGATGAAATTCAACTACATGTGGCAATATGAGGCACTAGAAGAAAGAGGTTAGGGTGTATTCAGCAAATGAGGTTTTGGGTGGACGTTCACATCCAGGCTTGCTGTTTTTGTCATAGCATATTACATAACTGCCAGCTGATGTCATTTTAATCTGCACCCCTCGACCCTGCCCTACTTTTGAGCTATTGTGAAGCCAGTCGGCAGTAACGTGAGTCTGGGGTTACAAAACACTCCTCTGCACAAATCTTTTATTCAAAACTTGCTTCTTTTAGTAAATAACAATTGAATTATTAGCTTCTCTAGCTGTGTGGTGAAGGCAGCCTCGGCCTGTATGTGATTGTCTCTTCAGGAAAGTGGTTGAGATGTGTCACACTGATCTCTTATGTCTTCACATTCAGCTCATGTTTAACACTGATAAACTGGCACTAGTACTCCAACGCAACAGGCATGTTTGGTATTTCTGAACTGATTTGCTTTTAATTTAATTTGCTAGGTGCTGTCACTTTTTCCATAAGTTACTCATTCTAATTCTTAGATCATCAAGGAGATGGATGTCATGCAGTATTGCTCAACAAGACAACACAAGTGTCATTTAGAGGGAGAGTGGTGCCGAAACCCCACTGCCCTCACTTTTTTTCCAAGCTATGCTTCCACCTCAGCTAGGTGTAAATGTGTCAAAATAAAACTAACTGTGAATAGTCTGAATGTAATAGAGAAAAAGGCTTTAAATAGCAGTCTCATGATGAAATCTCCTATTGTAGTATATCACTTAATCCATAATTAGAGACTGACAAAGGTGTGATAAAAAAATGAATTTAGTATGCTTGAATGAAAGCTGATCTATGAACAATTAGGTTAAATGTAGCTAAACAGTTCAAGATTAAATGTCTGTCAAGTTGACTGCAAATATTAAATCTACCCCAATAATACAAAATATTTGAGACATGGTCATTAACCAAAATAATATTTTTAAAAATATTAAAACAATAATTCAAATGAAGTTGAATTATGTAAGTTGAAAGCTAGAAAAATTCAACTTCTCTGTCTGATCAGGACTGTGTCGGCATTTTATTACCCACAGTGACAGTGGTGTAGCCATAGCAATGTAAACAACTTCACAGAAGCAGATATTTCATTTTTTTAAGCTTTATTTTTTGGCAGATATCAGACTTTGAATCTGTTACGTATCAGATTACGGAGGTAAAGTCATGTTCAGCTGTTGATGAATATGTTAACTGTGGTGGTCAGTGTTAGTGACTAATGCAAAAATTAATTTGCATCATGCAAACCGTTAGCATGCTCGCTCACTGGTAGCTGATCAGACACCACTAAAGATAGTTTGGTTTGGGTGGGGCGGGTCTGTGGTCATGTATAGTTGATGAAAAAATCTTCATGAATTCTGCTTAGTACCAGGAAAAACTTGATGCCAACAAGAATTTCTAAATCAAAACAATCAATATAGTTAAAATTAAAAA